CCCACAAAGGGAAGCCCATCAGACTTACAGCGGATCTCTCCACAGGAGCCCTACAAACCAGAAGAGAATGGGGTATTACACATCCTTAAAGAAATGAACTTTTAACATAGAATTTCATATCCAGCCAAACTAAGCTTCATAAGCGAAGGAGAAATAAAATTCTTTATGGACAAGCAATTGCTGAGAGATTTTGTCACCACCAGGACTGCCTTACAAGAGCTCCTGAGAGAAGCCCTAAACAAGGAAAGGAAAAACCAGTACCAGCCACTCCAAAAACATGCCAAATGGTAAAGGCCATCGACATAATGAAGAAAATGTGTCAACTAACAGGCAAATCATCCAGCTAGCAGCAAAACGGCAGGATCAAATTCACACATAACAATATTAACCTTAAATGTAAATGGACTAAAAGCCCCAATCAAAATACGCAGACTGGAAAATCGTATAAAAAGCCAAAACCCATCAGTGTGCTGTACCCAGGAAATCCATCTCACATGCAAGGATACACATAGGCTCAAAATAAAGGGATGGAGAAAGATTTATCAACCAAATGGAGAGCAAAAAAAAGCAGGAGTTGCAATCCTTATCTCTGATAAAATGGACTTTCAATCAACAAAGATCAAAAGAGACAAAGAAGGGCATGACTTAATGGTAAAAGGATCAATGCATCAAGAAGAGCTAACGATCCTAAATATATATGCACCCAATACGGGAGCACCCAGGTACATAAACAAGTTCTTAACAACCTACAAAGAGACTTAACTCCCACACAATAATAGTGGGAGACTTTAACACTCCACTGTCAATATTAGACAGATCAACGAGACAGAAAATTTACATGGATATCCAGGACTTGAAGTCAGACCTGAAGCAAGCAACTAATAGACATTTATAGAACTCTCCACCAAAATCCACAGAATATACATTCTTCTCAGCACCACATTGCACCTACTCTAAAACTGACCACATAATTTGAAGTAAATCACACCTCAGCAAATGCAAAAGAATGGAAATCATAACAAACAGTCTCTCAGACCACAGGGCAATCAAATTAGAACTCAGAACTCAGAAACTAACTCAGAACCACACAGCTTCATGGAAACTGAACAACTGGCTCATGAATGTTGACTGGATAAACAATGAAATGAAGGCAGAAATAAAGATGTTCTTTGAAACCAATGAGAATGAAGACAAAATGTACCAGAAACTCTGGGATATATTTAAAGCAGTGTCTAGAGGAAAATTTATAGCGGTAAATGACCACATGAGAAGCAAGGAAAGATCTAAAATTGACACCCTATTATCAAAATTCAAAGAGCTAGAGGAGCAAGATCAAAAAAACACAAAAGCTATCAGAAGACAAGAAATAACTAAGATCAGAACAGAACTGAAGGAGATAGAGACACAAAAAACCCTTCAAAAAATCAGCAAATCCAGGAGCTGATTTTTTGAAAACATCAACAAAATAGACCACTAGCCAGATTAATAAAAAAGAAAAGGGAGAAGAATCAAATAGATGCAATAAAAAATGATAAAGGGGATATCACCATTGATTCCACAGACATACAGACTACCATCAGAGATTACTACAAACAACTCTATGCACATAGACCAGTAAACCTGGAAGAAATGAATAAATTCCTGGACACTTGCACCCTCCCAAGCCTAAACCAAGAAGAAGTCGAAACCTTGAATAGACCAAAATCAAGGGCTGAAGTTGAGTCAGCAATTAATAGCCTACCAACCAAAAAAAATCTCCAGGTCCAGATGGGTTCACAGCTGAATTCTACCAGACATACAAAGAGGAGCTGTTACCATTCCTTCTGAAACTATTCCAAACAATACAAAAAGAGGGAATTCTTCCCAAATCATTTTATGAGACCAACATCATCCTGATACCAAAACCCGACAGAGACTGAGCAAGAAAAGAAAACTTCAGGCCAGTAGTCATGATGAACATAGATGCAAAAATCTTCAATAAAATACTGGCAAGCTGACTGCAACAGCACATCAAAAACCTTATCAATCTCAATCAAGTAGGCTTCATTCCAGGGATGCAAGGCTGGTTCAACATACGCAAGTCTATAAACATAATCCACCACATAAACAGAACCAAAGACAAAAACAACATGATTATCTCAATAGATGCAGAGAAGGCCTTCAACAAAATTCAACAACACTTTATGCTAAAAACTCTCAATAAACTAGGTATTGAAGGAACCTATATCAAAACAATAAAAGCTATTTATGACAGACCTACAGCCAATATCATACTGAATGGGCAAAAACTGGAAGCATTACCTTTGAAATCTAGCACTAGACAAGGATGCCCTCTCTCACCTATTCAATATAGTATTAGAAGTTCCAGCCAGAGGAATTAGGCAAGAAAAAAAAAATAAAGGGTATCAATTAGGAAAAGAGGAAGTCAAATTGTCTCTAGTTGGAGACAACATGATTGTATAATTAAAAGACCCTACATCCCAACCCAAAATCTCCTTAAACTGATAAGCAACTTCAGCAAAGTCTCAGGATACAAAATCAATGTGCAAAAATCACAAGCATTTCTAGACACCAATAACAGACTAACAGAGAGCCAAATCATGAGCAAACTCCCATTCACATTTGCTACAAAGAGAATAAAATACCTAGGAATAGGGCTAACAAAGGATGCAAAGGACCTCTTCAAGGAGAACTACAAACCACTGCTCAAGGAAATAAAAGAGGACACAAACAGATGGAAAAACATTCCATGTTCATAGTTAGGAAGAATCAATATCGTGAAAATGGCCATACCACCAAAAGTAATTTATAGATTCAACACTATCCCCATCAAGCTACCAATGACCTTCTTCACAGAACTGGAAAAAACACCTTAAACTTCATATGGAACCAAAAGAGAGCCCACATAGCCAAGACAAAACTAAGCAAAAAGAACTAAGCCAGAGGCATCACACTACCTGATTTCAAACTATACTACAAGCCTACAGTAATCAAAACAGCATGGTACTGGTACCAAAACAGAGATATAGACCAATGAAACAGAACAGAGACCCTGGAGGCAATGCCAAACTTCTATAAACATCTGATCTTTGACATTCTGACAAAAATAAGCAATTGGGAAAGGATGCCCTGTTTAATAAATGGTGTTGAGAAAACTGGCTAGCCATGTGCAGAAAGCAGAAACTGGGCCCCTTCCTGACACCTTACACTAAAATTAACTCCAGGTGTATTAAAGACTTAAACATAAGACCTAACACCATAAAAACCCTAGAAGAAAACTTAGGCAAAACCATTCAGGACATAGGCATAGGCAAGGACTTCATGACTAAAATACCAAAAGCATTGACAACAAAAGCCAAAATAGACAAATGGGACCTAGTCAAACTCCACAGCTTCTGCACAGCAAAAGAAACAGTCATTACAGTGAATCAGCAACCAACAGAATGGGAAAAAATTTTTGCAGTCTACCCATCTGACAAAGGGCTGATATCCAGAATTTACAAAGAACTAAAACAGATTTACAAGAAAAAAAAGAAACAAGCCCATTCAAAAGTGGGCAAAGGATATGAACAGACACTTTACAAAAGAAGACACACATGAGGCCAACAAACATATGAAAAAATGCTCATCATCACTGGTCATTAGAGAAATGCAAATCAAAAATACATTGAGATACCACCTCACGCCAGTTAGAGTGGCGATCATTACAAAATCTGGAGACAACAGATGCTGGAGAGGATGTGGAGAAATAGGAACACTTTTACACTGTTGGTGGGAGTGTAAATTAATTCAACCATTGTGGAAGACAGTGTGGCGATTCCTCGAGGACCTAGAAATAGAAATTCCATTTGACCCAGCAATCCCATTACTGGGTATATATCCAAAGGATTAAAAATCATTCTACTATAAGGACACGTGCACACAAATGTTCATCGCAGCACAGTTTACAATAGCAAAGACCTGGAACCAACCCAAATGCCCATCGATGATAGACTGGACAGGGAAAATGTGGCACATATACACCATGGAATATTATGCAGCCATCAAAAACGATGAGTTCATGTCCTTTGTAGGGACATGGATGAACCTGGAAGCCATCATTCTCAGCAAACTGACATAGGAGCAGAAAATCAAACACCGCATGTTCTCACTCACAGGCGGCTGTTGAACAATGAGAACACATGGACACAGGGAGGGGAGCACTACACACTGGGGTCTGTTGGGAGGAAATAGGGGAGGGACAATGGGGGGTGGGGAGTTGGGGGAGGATGGCATAGGGAGAAATGCCAGATATAGGTGAGGGGGTGGAAGGCAGCAAATCACACTGCCACGTGTATACCTATGCAACAATCTTGCATGTTCTTCACATGTACCCCAAAACCTAAAATGCAATTAAAAAAAAAGAAAAAGAAACTGTGGTCCATACACACAAAGAACTATACAGCCATAAAAAAAAATGAGATCCCGTCAGTTGCAACATCACAAATGAAACTGGAAGTCATTATGTTAAGTGAAATAAGCCAGGCACAGAAAGACAAACTGCATGTTCTCACATATGTGTGGTATTTAAAAATCAAAATAATTTAACACATGTAGAGAGTAGAAGGATGGTTATCAGAAGCTGGGAAGGGTATGGGGAGGTGAAGGGGAGATGAGGATGGTTAACAGGTACCAAAAGAAGCTGCAAAGAATGAATAATACCTAACATTTGGTAGCACAACAGGGTGACTATAGTCAAAATAATTTAATTGTACAGTTTAAAATTGAAAAGACAGTGAGCCAAGCTGGGCAACAGGGCAAGAGCCTGTCTGGAAATTAATTAACTAATTAATTAACTAAAAGAGTATAATTAGATTGTTCATAACACAAAAGATAAATGCCTGAGGGACTGGATACCCCACTTTCCGTGATGTGATTGCCACACCTTGCATGCCTGTATCAAAATATTGCATATACTCTATAATGATATACAGCTACTATATACTCACAAAAATTTTTAAAAATTTTAAAAAGAAAAAAAAAGAATGAGGTTCAACTGCTCTGAATAGGCTGAATGAAAATGGCCTTTCTGAACATCCACTTACATTTAAAAAAAAATTAAAAAAGAATGGATGTTGGATTTTATCTAATGCTTTTACTGCATTTTTTGAGATGATCACATGGGAGCATTTACTTAGTCTGTTAATACAATAAATTTCACTAAATTTTATCACTTGATTTTCAAATGTTGTACCCACCTTGCTTTCTGGAGACAAATTCCACTTGATCATGATGCATCATCATTTTTACCTATCATTGCATTCAATTTGCCATTTTTTAAATTAGCGATGGGGTCTCACTATGTTGCCCAGGCTAAAGTGCAGTGGCTATTCACAGTGCCATCAGTTTCCCTCTAAGTACTGCTTTAGCAGCATCTCAAAAAATTGTGACGTATTGTGTTTTTATTTTAATTCAAAGCGTTTTCTACTTTCATTCTTTATTTATTCTTTGACCCGTGGATTATTTAAAAATGTGTTATTTTGTTTCCAAATTCTGAAATTTTCCAGATATTTTTCTGTTACTGATTTCTAACTTATTTCTATCATGATAAGCGAAGGTACTTTATATGACTTGAAGCCTCTTAAATTTACTGAGATTCATTTTAGAAGTCCAGACTATATCTTGCTAAATGTTCCTTGTGCTTTTAAAAAGAAGTTGTATCTTGCCATTGTGGGGAAAAGTTTCCTATAAATATCACTTGGGTCAGGCTGGTGGGTAGTGTTTTTCAAGTCTTCAATAACTTAACTGATTTTGCATTTGTTCTATTAACCATTAGGGATAGAAAATCTCTAACTAACTGAAATGTTGAAATCTCTCACTCTAATTATGAAGTTGTATATTTTTTCTTACAGTTTTTTTTCTGTTTCTGTTTTTGTGAGGTTTTTTTTCATGTAGTTTGAGATAATGTTATTTGGGTCACAAATATTTCAGATTGCTGTGTCTTCATGTTGAATTAACTCCTGTAACAAATGAAATTGTATTCTTTATCCTTGGGAAAATTCCTTGCTATAAAATCCATTTTCTCTGATACCAAGGGCCATTTCAGTTTTTTTGTTGTTGTTTTTTTTTAATTAGAGCTAATATGGCATGTCTTTTTCTATCCTTTTACTTTTTGTGCCTTTACATTTAAAGTTGAGGTAGAAGGACTGTAGGTAGTATATAGTTAAGTCTTTCTTTTATATCAAATCTGACAATCTTCCTTTGAATAACAGCATTTAGACCCTTTGAATTTACAACGGTGATTGATTTGGTGGTGTTTAAATCTACAGTCTTACTATTTGTTTTGCGTTTGTCCTATCCCCTTTTTGTTTTCTTTTTCTGCTTAATTTGAATTATTTGTCTAATTTTTGTTATTCTACTCTTTCTTTTTTATTTAATGTTAGCTATGTTTTTGTTGTCTTGTTTTATTGGTTGCTGAAGAGTTTGTAGTGTACATCTTTAGCTTATCATAGTTTACCTTCATGTCATATATACCACAGAACATAGAATAAAAGAAACTCACAATAGTATATGTCTAGTTTTCCCCTCCCAGCCTTTGTGCTATTATCAAACATTTTACTTCTACACAGGTTTTAAACTCCAAAATACATCATTATTATTTGTGATTTGAAGAGTTGTTTGTGATTTAAAGAAATTTAAATAATAAGAGAAAAATATTTAACTATGCATTTACCAGTTCTGGACCGTTTATATAGATCTCATTTTCCATCTGATATCATTCTGTTCTGCTTGAAAGTCTTTCTTTTAATATTTGGGTTTCGGTTTGGTTTGGTTTGGTTTGGTAGTGCCCGTCTTTTTATGGTTAATCCTTTTAGTTTTTTTAATATCTGAAAGCATATTTATTTCATCTTTGTTTTCAAATATAGGCAATCCTTATGTTACAGTTCAAATATAAATAGATTTCAGTTACCACTGTTTAGCTAAAGAATAGCAGTACCCCAATAACATGGTTTAAATTTCAGTTGTCATTGATATGAACTATGAGTCATTACATAAAGTACAAACTTTGCTACTAGCTCCTCAGACCATTAATAAGTACTAGGCATTCCTCCAATTATGAACTAAGATATAATTTTTAAAAAAAAAAAGTAAATGAGTCAGCAAAGCATGTAGTTATGATGCCTCCTTTTCTCCTAGTGATAAAGTTATTTAATTTTGCATAAAAATGAATACTCCCTGTTTCTACTAAAAATACAAAGATTAGCTGGGTGTGGTGGCAAGCACCTGTAACCTCAGCTACTCAGGAAGCTGAGACAGGAGAATCACTTAAACCCAGGAGGCAGAGGTTTCAGTGAGCCGAAACTGCACCACTGCACTCCAATCTGGGCAACAGAACAAGATTACATCTCAAAAAACAAAAACAAAACATGCAGGTACAACAAAGAAACTGAAAGTAATAATGTTGGAATGATGGAAATTCAAACAACATGAATAGAGTTAGCAAAGAACTAGCTGACTGCGGAAATGTTGACATTGCCACTGTTTGAAAGACTCTAGATATGCAGCAAGATGAGCTTAGTGAAGGTGAACGTATTGACAAATGAGTAAAGTGATTTTCATAAAAAAGAAAGACCTCCAGAGAAAATGGTACCAAAAATTTTATATCAAGGGAGCTCTTAAAGATATTTCAAACACTGAAGAGCAACGGATAAAATATTAGAAGTTAATCTGAAATAGAAGAAGTACAACAATTTACCAAGGCATAGAAAAGACATTCATTTCATGTATTAAGTTACATAACAAGAAGAAGTCAAGCACTTTTAAAACTATTCTTGGTAAGTTTTTTACAAAGAAATAAACACGTTAATTTCTGATTACAGTGATCCAATTAGATGTTCGTTTTACTATTTTTTAATTTTGTATACGTTTTTAAGTGACATTAAGAGAGTTTTTAGTATTTTGGCAACAATTTTTAGTATTTTGGCAAAAATTCTTAACAGTCAACTGGGCGCAATGGTTCATACCTATAATCTCAGCACTTTGGAAGGCGAGTCAAGCAGATTGTTTGAGCTCAGGAGTTTGAGACCAGCCTGGGCAACACGGCAAAATCCCATCTCTATAAAAAAACACAAAACTAGCCAGGTGTGGTGGTGCATGCTTGCAGTACCAGCTGCTCGGGAGGCTGAGGCAGGCGGATCACTTGAACCCGGAGGTCAAGACTGCAGTGAGCCAAGATCAGACCACTGCACTCCAGCCCGGGAAACAGAGTAGGACTCTATATCCAGTGTCTTGAGAATTATGTATTTTATATTTATCCAATATGTATTATATATTTTATCCAATATTTCAGTTGTTTCACTTAGGAAAGTAAATTCAGTTTCCAACTTAACCAGAAGTAGAAGTCAAAGAATCTACAACTTTTATCTGGATGTGTCAAACAATACCTCAGCTCTTCACTTGTTTTAGAAACAAATTCCTCGGTCTTAATTATTCATTTTCTTGTATATCTTTTTTGTGATTAAATAAAATTTAAAGGACTATTTGTATGCAATATGTCCTAAGACCAAAAAAAGCCCCAACTGTAAAAGAAACTAATAGAACGCTACTGCTTTAGAAAACCATAACAAGTGATACTTCTTTGCATATCAGGTGTATCTCAAAAAGTTGCATGTAAATAGAACTTAATAAAATAAAATTTCAAATGTACGAGGAAACTATTTGGAGATATCTCACTCTGTATCTCCAATTTTTTTCCCATAAATCCCAATAGAAAAGGACTGATGCATACCAAAGACCAAATGGAAACATTATTGTGCCGCTTTAGACTCCCACCTTCATTACCAGCGTGTACCAGCAGTTTATCATTTGATGAAATTTTGGAGGGAAACTTACAAACCAATAAATATTTTTAATTTGTTTCCCAAACTTTTACAAATGGCAAATGCCAGATTCAAATATGTGCACATTTCTGCAACATAATACTATATAAGGCAGTTACTATAAGTCTGGCACTTGGAATGAATCTATTTTTATTGACTAAACAAATGCATGAATAAATGAATAAATCTGTCTAGATGGAAACACCAAGCTGTGCTCATGGTGAGGAGAGGACGCTTAACTTCACACACGAAAAATAATTTTTAAAAGATAAAAAGAACTCATAGAGACAGAAAGTAGAATAACCGTTGCCATGGGCTAGAGAAACGGAGCAATGGAGAATTATTGTTTAATAGATACAGAGTTTCAATTTTACAAGATGAAGCGTTCTGTGGATGCATGGTGGCATTGGTAACACAGCAATGACATAGAACTACACACATAAAAATAGTTAAGATGGTAGATCTTATGCTATGCATATTTTACCACAATTGAAATTTTTACATAAATAAATAGATAAATAGAAAGTTTATCTGAGATAGGAATCATCAGAGCTGAGAGTATCTTTTAATATATGCAGAATTAACAAGACCTTACAAAGTTTTTAACAACCAAAAAAAAAATCACTTTTTAAATAATAATATAACTTGTTTTCTCTAAGCTTCTGGTCAATAAAATATTTTTAATGTAGGGAATTTTGACTGTGATGATGGTCACGGTGATAGTAGTGGTGGTGTTAAGCTTGAAAATTATAACAAGTGATACTTCTTTTCATAGCAGGTATATCTTGAAAAGCCACATGTAAATAGAATTTTATAAAATAAAATTTCAAATGTACAAGGAAAACTATTTAGAGATCCCACTCTATCTCTAACTTATATTTCCCATAAGTCCCAATATTTTCTTATCTGTTTTAAAGAGTTATTCCTTACCTATTGCTGTTATTACTACTGACATCCTTATAGGATGTGTCTTATTATCATCAGTTTATGTGTGGAGATAAAATAAATAGGCAACCCCCAAATAGGATATATATCTGTTTTAAGTCGAAATTGTTATCAAATTATAAAAGATGGGGCATATGGCAAAAATGGCCCTTCTAATAGATTTAAATACAACACTGTGAATTTAATTTCATGTAAACACCCATGTCCCACGTATTTACAGTGATAATTAAGACTGACCTGCCTCTGAATCTAGCTCTAAGTAATTAGTCATTATT